TTAATCAATCTTGTCTATCTTATTTCTTTTACTGTCTACTGGGATATCGAATGTCTCCTTTGACTTGAGCCCCTTTGGTGACCTTGGTGTGCCTTCGACCAGGCAAGCCGTAACTTTCCCTCCAAATCATCAGAGGTATGGACGAACAGGTAGAAACTTTCGAAGACTACTATGACTCCTTTGACCCTGATACTTACTCTCATATTGAGAGTAGCTCGAAAGAGCCATATTCTTACTTAGTCGATGGTGACCGCTCATACCACGAGAGCAAGTCCCTAGAATGTATGTTCCTTGGATATCTCGATTAATCCAGCTGCTGAATGCCTAAATTAACCCAACTTCGCGTGTTTAACGCGCTTTTCTCTTCGCGGTACTTTGCTCGTGGCGAACAGCGTTCTCATCTCCTTCGCTCTCTGCCCCCTTACACGAGGGCCCTTTTCAATCATACAATGAAAATACCCACCCCTTTCACAGTGGTGGTGCTGTTTCCGACACCAATCACGTTAGCACGCTAGCCTTGACGCCATCCCGTCTAACGAACCTCAACTTGAACCCTACCTTTACCCCGCGACGGGATTTGAGACATTCCTATGTAAAAGGTAATGGCGGTTATTCTAGCTCGATGCTTACAGCTTCGTAACAAAGCTCATCCACCTGCTCTCTGCTTCAAATCACAATAGCCGTTCCAATTACTCGACAGATATTCAACCAGCATGTGTCCGAAAGGCGTTCCATGGGTGCTCCCCTCTCACCAATACAAGAATCATTACCAGGAATTTCGGAGATGGTAGAAGGGCGCCGGTTGATATCTGTCTCACAGCTGCGTACGCCACAACCTTACGTAGATGACCGCTTTCTGAATTGGTTTCTTCGCAGCTGCCTATAGGTTACTGTTTTCATTTGCACAATTCAATGCAGTACAGAGTGCATGTTACTCAAGTATCATTGAAGAAGACGAGAATATGGTGATCTCAGCCCCAACAGGAAGTGGAAAGACTGTCTTGTTTGAGCTGGCCATTGTCAAAATGTTGATAGATGACAATAGCAGCGACTCGAAGTGCATTTATATTTCTCCAACCAAGGTGAGCGTTTGATTGGACGCGGTATACTGCAACCCTCAACCAGACTACAGGCTTTGTGTTCTGAAAAGTATCGAGAATGGTCAAGGAAATTCGAGGCTACGGGAGCCAAATGTATGCCCGAATTTTTTTTTTTTTTGTCTTTATTGCTGCTTACAAGGTGTAGGTTGTGAGCTGACTGGAGATACCATTTCGTATGGCAAGGGGGCATGGGCAGATGCTCGAAATGCCAAGATTATGT